TTTTAAACATTCCTTAGGAATTTCTCGTATGAGATCAGGTGATAATTGATCCTCGGATAGTTGTTATTTTATTTTCTGGCAAAATTGCCCTACCCGTATCTTCCAATATACTGTTGAATACGACTGTAAAAGTAGGTATCTGTGCCTTGTTATTCTATTAGGAATAAACCTTTCAGTGATGACAACTGGGTATGTTTACTGTTGGTTTTACAAAATTGCTTTTTATCATGTTTAAGAAATGTCCTTCTATTTCTAGGTTTGTGAGTGTTTTTTTTATCGTGCCATGGTGTTGAACTTTGTCAGAAGCCCTTTCTGCATCAGTTGAGAGAATTATGGAGTGTTTTCCATTCATTCTAATAATACAGTGTGCTACATGGATGGCGTTAGTGTGTGGAACCAGCGTTGATTTTCTGGGATAAAGAAACCATGTTCGTGGTGCTTGATCCTTTCCAAATGCTGTTGGTTTAAATTTATTATTATTTTGTTGAGGATTACTAAGTTTGCATTTCTGAGATTATAGATCTGTAGATTTCAGTCCTTGAAATGGCGTGACACTGTGTAGGATGGATCAGGACGGGATTGGGTATAGACTGCAGTTAGTATTTGCAGAGTTAGTGTGTAAAGGTATTACACAATCAGTACATAGGCTTTACAGGCTGAGTTTACCAGTTAAAGATGATGGTATAAGGGCTCCAAGATAGGAGGTTCAGGTTGGTGGTTGCGAGATCCATAGTAGTGATTAGAGGGAGAGATTAGGCTGACTAGTGGGGTTAGGTTGACAGGTCAGAATTACAGTGAAGGGTTAGGGTGTAAATTTTAGTGAGATTTTGGATTGGGATTATATACAGGTTAGAGTAGTTTTAGTTTAAGGTAAGGATTAGAGTGGGTAAAAGTAACATTAGCGTTCATGAATGAAGGTTAAGCTTAAGTTAGATTTAGAGTTAAGGGTAATTGGAGTAAGGTTAGGGTTAGGGATTAGGATTCAGGGTTAGCATTAATGTTTACAGTTTAGAGTAGGAATTAGGGTTAGGGTTTAGGGCAGTGGTTAGGGTAAATATTAGGGTTTTAGGGTTAGGGTTAGGTTTAGAAATATGGTTGGGGGTTAAAGTTAGGATTAGGGTTGGGGGTAGGGTTGGTTGGTTTAGGGTTAGGTGTTAGGGTTGGGCTTAGGGGTTAGGGTTAGCGTGAGGGTTAGGGTTAGGGGTTAGGGTTAGGATTAGGGCTGGAGTTAGGTTTAGAGTTAGACCTACAACAAGGCTTAGCATTAGGGTTAGGGTTAGGGCTAGAGCTATGTTTAAGGTTAGGGTTTAGGGGTTAGGGTTAGAGGGTCAGTGTTAGGGTTAGGGATCAGGGCAGGGTTAGGTTTAGGGTTCGTGGTTAGTCTTAAAGTTAGGGGTTATGGGTTAGGGCTAGAGTTATGGTTAGGGTTAGGGTTAGGGATATGAGACCTGGAGTCAAAGGAGATTATTTTGGAACTTCATAATTTGACTGTCCTATTGGATTTCTGTCCTGAATGGGACCTGTAACCCCTTTATTTTTCTCATTTGGAACACCTGCATTTTCTCAATGCCTGTATCCCCATTGTATCTAGGAAGTAATTAGCTTGCTTTTGATTTTATAGCTTCATAGGTGGAAGGTCCTTGACTTTTCACAGATGAGACTATGGACTGTGGACTTTTGAGTTAATGTTGAAATAAGACTTGTGGGATTGTTGGGAAGGCATGGTTGGTTTTGAAATGTGAGGACATAAGATTTGAGGGGTCAAAGTTAAAGAATCATAGGAATGTAGCTAAACATATAAAAATTTTGCAAACCCGTAGCTTTTATGATGAAACAAATACAATTTATCATCTTTTATATATAATATGTTTTAACGTTTTTTAACCCAATGAAATGTGAGTTTTGTGATTTTGATCTTACTATAGCAATGGTTTTATAAACAAAGAAAAAAGTGAATAATTCAGGATTGCAGAGATGGTAGACTATTAAAAGTAGTTTGGGTATTAAATTATTATGAAATAATTGTGTATTAAATAATTCTAAATCCAACAGTTGTGATTGAACCGATCTGTAGGCATATGTAAGTGTTGAGGTGAAAGTGACAACCAAAGCAGTTATGTTGAACATTTATGTCTGGAGGTAATCAATAGAGGAACTAGCTGTGGACCTTCACCTCTGCATGACCTTTGTTTTGTGCTGTAGTTGAGTATCAAAAACAAACAAAACAAAATCACCACTTATTTCTCAAAGAGAGAGAATATTTCCTTCAATTTAAGCATTCCTAAATTGCCACCTGATGGTCCCTGCGCTCTTGGAGGAGGCCAAGGCACAGCAGACCCTCAGCTGGGCAGGCAATGCACTTGACCCTGAGGACATCAGGTACCCGGCCCCCCACCCACCGCCAACGCCTGAATCACCCCTGCAGCTTAGACGTGGCATGGGAGCAGCAAGTGGCTGGACACCTCAGACCAGGCCCACGCCCCCAGCAGCAGGAATCGCGAGTCTGGGCACCCAGGTGGCAAAGTCAGGCAGTCAGCCCCGCCAGCAGCTGCTCAGTCTCCTCATGTGGATGCAGAGTGCCCAGCGCAGCGCCCCAGGATCTGGAGAGGTGTCCAAGAGGAGTGGACCCTCAGTCCAGATGGGCTGTGTACTCAGCGACCCTGATGCCACCCAAGGGAAGCTCCGCCATCCCATGCCAGTACCAGAGCTGTACCTGCAAACTGCGCATCCAGCATGGGCAGCAGTGGGGGCCGGTGGGGAAGGAGCAACCCCTGACTTTCCATGTGTCTCCCGCTCCCTGACACCTGCTAGGCAGCCACCAGGGCCAGAGTTTCAGCGCTGAAGCCAGGCCATCCGCAAAGCCTTTCCAGCGCTGCTGAGTGCCCATGCCAGACCCGATCTCCCTTTGAGGAGGAGTGGGTCAGCGGCAGGGTTAGACAGACCTTCCCCTACTCTCTTATAAAAGATATATGTAAGGATTGATAATTTCCATCAGGAACTCATGCTTGTGGTATGAAATGCGCACCTGCGATCCTGCACCTGTGGTCCTCCGGTAGCCCGGGCGAGCCCAGGAGAACCCGGAGCCCAGCGATGCCTGCCCCAAGCTGCAGCCCCACCCGCCTGTGCGTGCCTGGGAGCGGCTTCTGGGAGCAGGGTGGCCACCGTGGCGCAGGTGCGCGCCTAACAACTTTGCGGGGCTCGCTGGGTCTGAGAGGTCAGAGGCTGCAGGTGTTGCTGCTGAAGGCTATGGTGGACGCGGCTGGATCACGGATTCTGGGCTAGAAAGCAGATTTGGGATCGCTCATTGGGGGTTGGTTCCAGGTGGGGGTGGGAGGAGCCGCGGTTCAGGAGCTGGTTGTTGGGGATCCGAAAAGTCACCACCTTGAAGAAGTTCCTCGGCTTTGGGAGCCAGGGGCCAAGGCAGAGCAGAACCTCAGGTCCTAGGCTCCACAGATCCCGTCTACGCTGCTTCCGGGCACCAAATCCGGGACGCGGAACCGCGGAAGATCCACAGGGCGGCTGTCAGGGGCGACGCCGCGGAGGTGTAGCTGTCCGACGCGCAGGAGCAGAGACCTGGACGCCCAGGACCAGCCGCACAGGTAGCGGGGCTCAGCCCGGGGTGGGAGGGTTCCCTAGGCCTGGCTTCCCCCCGGGATGGGGCCTCGGAAGGCGCCAGGTGGGAGCAGCGGAGCCAAATGAGCCTCAGCTGCTGTATCCCTCCTGATTCCCCGGCTGGAGCACTTGGTGGAGAATGTGAGTGATTTACCTCACAAAGTTAGGCATATACAGCGTTGTTATTTTAACCTTCACGTTTAAAACATGGTGTTTTATACGTTACAGGATGTCCCTACTGAGAGAACTCATTCCCCTATTAAAAATACCGGGAGTCATTTTCAGTAGGCGAAAATTTCTCAGATAAAACTGCCAGTTTTACATAGATCGGTTCTTTACTGAAGGGTCTTAGAGGGAAACTGGGAAGTGGGTGGTGGGTTTGTGTTCTTGAATGAGAAGACACATTTTTCTCAAAATGTGAGCTCTTTCTGTGTTTATCAATTTTACATAAACCGAATGAAAATATCAAGGTTTTAACATTTTTGCATGACACCTGCTGTCTTTTACTATTGTGATGACATTTTAAATAATTTTATAATGGACTGAAAAAATACTGGCTTCTCTAGATATTAAAATGTGCTATTAATTTCTATAATTAATTGTTTACTAACAGCTGAAAATACAGATGAATGCATGGAACAGAATAGGCAATCCAGAAACACTGAAATGATGTAAGATATATGTAAGGATTGATAATGTTAACAGATATGAATAGGAAAGGATGAATTATTAATGAAAAAATGCCTGCTCTTTGAAGAAAAGTAATGAAATTTTGTGTCACAAACATGAGGGCCTGATGGAACACAGACTGAAACTTTTACATATGCAAGTAAGAAAAGTGTCAGAAGAAAACACAAACGCTTATTTTGCAGGTATATTTTATGTTGACAAAGGCTTTCCTAAGAATGACCTCAGAGGAAGGAATTCTGAAGGTTGATTTAGCAAACTAAAAATTAAAACTACCTGTGTATCAGAAAAAAAATGAGAAAGAAAATATACTTGAAAAGTATTTACTATATTATATATATATTGAGATGAGAAGTGTGTTTTCATTTTACAGTGAATTCATTATTTTATATATCATGTGATATGTATAGTACTGGTATGTATAGCATACATATTATATATATAATGTTATATGTATATCAGTTATATATACAAATTAGATGAAAAGTTACATATACACACTTTAGATGAAAAGTGTATCTTCATTTTGTAGGAAATTCTTTCAAATCAAATACACACTCTAATTAAAGTGAGCAAAGAACTTTTTTGCAGGTTTACAAGTTACTTATGTACATAGGAAAAAATCCTTTGCATTTCTGGTATAAGAATTTAACAGAGGTATGAAACTGTTTTCTGTCCACAGTATGTGTGAGGATGTTTTGTACTGCTGCTTAAAGTTTAAGTTGCTGATAACTTTTTAAATAGACAATTTGGTCGTAAGTACCACATTTAAAAAATGTGTATACTCTTTACCCATCAATTCCATTATACTAAAATACCCTTAGGAAGTAGAGATTTTCGCAGCACTTTTTTTTTTTTTTTTTTTTTAAAAAAAAAAGGACAGATAGAATGAATTCTATAAATAAATTTCTGTTACGGCCATAGGATGGAATAATATGTGATCATTGAATGTGACAATAGATATAGAAGTATGTTGTTGTGCGAAGAAGTATTTTGTTATAGCCAGCAAGGAAAAAAGAATCAGTTTAATTATACATACACACAAACATACTATGGTCTTGTATTAACAAAAAAATGTATACAAAATATGATAACATTTCTAATTTCTGGGCATTTGCATTTTAAGTAAAGTTTTTCTTATCTGTGATTGCTGCAATGAGCATGTACAACACTTCTAGTACAAGTTTATTATTAAAGGAATAATTCTTGGGAAGAGTAATATGAATCTTGCCCAGATAAAAATAATCTCTCACTTTATATATATATATTTAAAGATGGGGTTTCACCATGAAGGCCAGGCTGGTCTTGAACTCCTGACCTCAAGTGATCCACCCACCTCAGCCTCCCAAAGTGCTAGGATTACAGGCGTGAGCCACCATGCCCGACTTCACTTTCTATTTTTTATCATCATCATTATTGTGTGTTATCATCTTTGAACTTTTAGCCTCTTCAGAAATCAAAAGGAAATGTTTTTATCTGTCTCCAGATTTTATGTATATATTTTATTATGTACATATATTTTTCTTACATGTAGATTTATCTCATATATGCAAATGATGATAGATTAATCATTTCATTTTACTTGTATTCTTTGAAAATAAAAATAACAAATGATTACTGTTGCAACAACACTGCTTTTTAGGAGTTTATTTAAAAATATTGAACTCCCCATCTGTATTTATCCATTCATTCATTCAATTTATTCATCAAACATAACCTGAGTACCTATTATGTAGCAGACATATTCTATGATCTCTCAGACCCTTCCATCCTTAAAAACTTCATGTTTACTTGCCCTGTCTGCACAAGTTGAGAGATTTGAAATGGACTTAATCTCATTTAAACTTTATCTCCCATCTTTCAAACAAAATAATTTCTGAAATTAGAAAATAGTAGAAGATAACCTTTAACTGCCCTTTAAAAGGTTTATCAGTCTTACACACTAAAATTAATCATGGGAAAGTCTGATTTGCATATATTCTCTAAATATAATTATTGAATTAAATGACCCATACCTATTCATTTTTGAATCATGAGTTTCCTTTGGCTTCAAGTTGTTTGAAAAATCCAAGAATTTATTTGTTTAAAAAATGTGTTACCGTTATTTCAGTGTTTTTTTCCCCCACTACCTTTAAGAGCTGAAATGTATTTAAGTGCCAGTTATATCCCTAGAACTGCCCTAGGCCTGCTGAGTATACAATATGCTACTTGATGTAAGGACTCATGGATTGTGTGATGCCCCATTATTATATATTTCAATAAAATAATTTTAAAAATGCTACCAATTATAGTTGTAATAAATCATGAATTATAAGTGGCATTCAAATATCAAAGGTGTTAAAATGTGACCACTCTTTAAGTCACCCTACAAAGTAGGTCTAATTGTATTATTTTACTTAATTAATTTTTTTTTGTTAAGTAGTAGTAATAGAAACAATCCCAGAACTCTGGGAGGCTGAGGTGGGAGGATCACTTTATGCTAGGAGTTTGAGATCAGCCTGAACAACAAAATGAGATTCTTGCTCTACATAAAATCTTAAATTAGTAGCTGGGCATGCTGGTGCACATCTGTAGTCCCAGCTACTCAGGAGGCAGGGTATGGAGGATCGCTTAAGCCCAGGAGGTCCATGCTACAGTGAAGTATGATTATACCATTGCACTCCAGCCTGGGCAAAAGAGTGAGACCTTGCCTCAAAAAACCAAAAATCTAACAATTTTGAGTTGTTGCTGTAAGAACGATTTTAAATACTTTACATGGTTTCTCATTTAAGCATCATGATGTCCTATGAAATAGCTATTATTGTTGTTTTTATTAATGAGGAAGTCGAGGCACAGAAAGGCTAAGTAATAGCTGGTAAATGACAGAGTTTAAAGTAGGGCTGAAATCCTAGTTGAACTGAATCCAAAGACCGAGCTCTTTCTATTCAAATAGGCTGCTGTTTTCATTAAGGTAGTGAGCAATTAGAGGTAAAAAGTATTGGACTTTCTTCAAGAAAAATAAGGACGAGGGAAAACATGCTATTCAGTGTTTACAATTATGTGAATGACTGTATGTTTTGAGACATTGCACTACGGTTTCCTAAAAGGTCCTCTTACTCTTGTACTACTGCCCTACATTTGGCCTGTGCCGGTGGCTGAGTAGAAATGGTCACTCTCCCGGTGAACAGAAAATGCCAGGTTGACATTTGTGACAAACAAAACAGAACACCTTTAATAGAGGTATATAGTAACCAACTCTTTCAGCATGACATGGGTTTGATTTATATATATAAAATTAAAATAAATTTATCTTATTTAAATATAACTAGTTGGTGAAACCTGTGGAATGTGTATTTTGAATTCTTAGAATTTACAATCTATTTCTTGATCTAATATGGACAGGCTGTACATTGCCAGGAAGAGACTTGTGCCATCTTTCTGCTAAAACATGGCACCAACCCACATCTTAAGGATATCTGTGGCATCACTGCTCTCCATTATGCTGGGTATAATGAGAGTATGTTATTGGCAGAAAAACTGCTTTCTCATGATGCAAATATTGAAGCAGTAGACAAGGTGTAGATCAATTAACTTTCTTTTCAAAGTATTTGTTTTAACCTTGACGTAGGTAAGGATCAATTTTTTATATTTGGAAGCTCAAGCATTCACTGAATGCAAGCAAATTAAGTTATTTTGAAATAACTTAATTGTCTAAAATCGTATTTTAAATAACGATACTTTGAAAGAAGCATTAAAGGGCACAACTTTTTAAAATATGCTTTGGAAAATATTTGTGAATTTCTTAAAGGTAAAACGTTTTCAATTTTTTTTAAATGCAGGGTTTCCCCCCTAATTAATGTAAAATAACACAGGAAAGAAAATATGCCTTGAAAATAGGCTTTATCTTAAAACTCAAACAAAACTAAAGCAACTTAGAATAAATGGACATCTTGCTGCTGCTGACAATTTTCTAAAAACCTGATGTATCATCTCTCAGTGGCAAGGCTTAAGAATAAATGGGGAGGGAAAAGGAGAGCCATCAGGAATACGCAGGTCACTTGGAAATTGGGTAATAGGGGAAAATGTCAAGAAGAGTTTTTTTTTTTTTTTTTTT